TACACAGTTTATGCATCTCCATGGTGCAAATACGGTTTGCCATAATAGGTAACATATAATACCAAACCCCTAGGGGAGCAATACCTTCCATAATCTGCAAAGTGCAGTATTTGGCTAGTACAGTGCCCTGAAAAAGTATTCCTACCCCTTGAAATTTTCCACATTTTGTCATGTTACAACCAAAAATGTAAATGTATTTTATTGGGATTTTATGTGATAGACCAAACACAAAGTGGCAAATAATTGTTACACACAAGTAGACTCTATTTACTAATTAAGTGACTTCTGAAGTCAATCGGTTCCACTAGATTTTAGTTAGGGGTATCAGAGTAAAGGGGGCTGAATAAAAATGTATGCCACACTTTTCAGATATTTATTTGTAAAAATTTATTAAAACATTTATCATTTTCCTTCAGCTTCACAATTGTGTGCCACTTTGTGTTGATCTAGCACATACAATCCCAATAAAACACATTTACATATTTGGTTGTAACATGACAAAATGTGGAAAATTTCAAGGGGTATGAATACTTTTTCAAGGCACTGCATTACTAAGCCCAGGCACAACTAAGTCAGACAAGTAAAGAAGTCTGTTAACTACTAGATCTAGCAGGCTGAGACCTGGTTTTCTCAAGTCGTAGAGCCCATGTGTTTTCAAATTTATTAGGGCAGCCCATGTGCTGATAAATACACTTTTCTATACGGAGGGTATCTCCCATATATCCTATCCATTCCTTGTATGTGGGCAGCTCAGCCAATATCCAGCAAGTCAGAATCAATCTACATACTTGAAATAATGCCTGGTAAATACTATGAGTTTTTTTTCATTCACCTCAGAGGAGCTCACGGGAGGTCCATGTACTAACTATGCGATGTTAGTACAGTTATCTCTCCGCCCCCCACGCCAGAACATACTGGTCGGATGCCGATCAAAACATGTTTTCTAGCATGCCCATTCTACAGAAGCCAGACGTTTGTCCGGTTTCTGACAGACAGGCTGCTGTACACACGAGCTGAATGGCAGCTGGTTGTGTACCAGGCATTAGGCTCTAGCCAGAATTTCTTTTGTAAATTTCTGTAATTGAAGATCATCTAGGTCTAGGACAAGCCAAATGATTTTAAACATGCTTAAAAACATAGCTCTCCTGATGCTCCTACCAAACAGTGCTGCTTTATTGTAGAGAACTGGTCCCTGGAAGTCCTCTGAGAAACCATCACTACTGGGAGTGGTGTTCTCCATGGTCACTTGAAGCTCCCACTGGTTCCTCCCTTTGACCTCACATCACTACTGTATCCTACAGTGACCTGAGGTTGGAAGGAGTAACCAATGAGAGCTATGGGATCATGGTTTGACACTCATGGAAGTATTGCTTTCTCAGTGGACTTCAGGGGACCAGTCCATTGCAGCAGAGCAGAGTTGATCATCGTGGGTGGCTGGAGAAGTAAGCATTCAGTCTTTTCTTTCCAGGTATGGGCTCTGCTGGTAAAGTTTGATTATGTGGTAGGGTCTCTTTAAGCCAAGTTTCCTATAGTAGGTGGTTATGCACCACTACTCTTTTTGTGAATAGTAAACCAGCGTTACTCCTTATCCTTATAGGACAAAGGAGGGTAAATACAGGTAAATAAAGCTATCTGTTTTATTCTTTAAGAGACAGAAAGAAATGGAAACATCTTGAACCAGCCTTGAACTGTTTATTAGACAGAGAAATCTTGACACAAAACTAGGTGTACATTTGATTCAAACACAATTTCTACTTGTTTGTGGCTTTCTCAGAATCAATTGAAGTCTCAGTGTACGTATCTAGCAGCTGGCTTTGCTTTGAGGGGAAAAAAAATAATTCTTTGTATATAATCCCTTGAGCCGCTCATAATAAACTGTTTATCAAGTGAGTAGTAGATTTCTGCCAGTTTAAAGCTGTTCATGAGCTGTTCCTGATTTAAACTCTACAGTTTAATAAAACAATTCCCAAGGTAATACTTAAAGTATAGATGTCGATTTGTTTTTCCCCGTCTTTGGTAGGTTCCATGCAATATTACTGTGAGGCCACATCCATTATCTTATTTTGTAAATACATAGTTTTATACTGTGAATTTAATATATAAAAATGGCAAGCGCACAGATCAGTTTATAACTAGCAAGAGAAAGATGCACATGGACTGGGCAGTACAGAACATTACCAAATATTCCCCAGCACTCTTACCAGCTAGTCTGCACAGAATTCCTCAACCGTTTCAACATGTGTTTAATACAGACATTTTTTGTTGTATACCTTTGCAAATGTTTGATAGGGCAAACTGCCACACGAAGGCACCACTGCAGAGTGTGGTCCCTACCAATAGCCTAGCTAAGCACCCAACATGGGGCATACTTGCAATGAATAAATTAAAAATGGGGAGCCTCTGAGGTGGCCCCATTCTCCGTATGTGTAAAGAAACCTACCAGAAGCCCAGATACGTCCAGTGACCTCCAATGCATAATTGCACCAAATCCAACAAAGAAAGAAAAAAAATGGTAACAGCAACAAGCAAAAGAAGAATGTATATGCCCCCCCCCCCCCCCAAAAAAAAAATGCCCAGCAAACGTAGCATAAAAACAAAGGGGGTTATTTACTAAAACTGGAGAGTGCAAAATCGGGCTTGTTTTTTTTTTTGCCAAAGGTTATTTGAACAAGCTGTAGTTAGAAGCTGACTACCATGCACAGATGCACCAGATTTTGCAGTCTCCAGTTTTAGTAAATCTACCCCAAAGTCTACACTGTTTCACCAACATGGCACTGTATACCAACATGCCCAGAAAAGGATTCACTATGTCACCTTTCCTAATCCCCTCTTTTTTTGTTTCTTTTCCTCTTTATCCATTTTATATCTCCCCCTTTCTTTACTCAATCCCTCCACTGCTTACCCTGATATATACTTCTCCCAAACCTCACACCCAAAAAATGTGAGGTGCATACTCCCAAAAGGTTGATCATTTGATATTTTGTGTTCTCATATCCAGTCAACATGTGGAACTCTTGGTGCCTTTTCTTGTGTTTTCCTCTATTTCTCTTACCTATTGTAAAAGAACCTGTTGTTTACAGAGTTCAGTAGTTCAAGTTGAAATTTATACATGCAAGAGAATGTGTCACCACAATGACTCATTCCTGACCATTAATCTATTATTGTTCTATCTCTTTTGATATCCCATTTAAGTCTGGGAATTCTTAGTCAGGTTTTAAACATCTACTTGTAAAAAAGATTGTATACATACAGTATAATAAAAACTACAGATCTATAGAAACACACCATCATAATTTCCCAGCTTTTCCAAACCTAGTTTCCCATAGTTTTGCCATCTGTTTTCTATGGCCTGCTTTATGTGTTATATTGTTATTTGTACATACAGTATATCTATCTATCTATCTATCTATCTATCTATCTAAGGCTAAATTCACGTTTACTGGAAAAAAAAATAAATACACATATTTACTGATTGCCCGCCACCCTATAGTAGTAGTACTGATACAGGGCTGCGTAAAATCACATATGCTGTCGCCATTGGCGGCTAGAGATGTAACACTCTGCTCCTCACAAGACCTCCTTCTCTCTAGTTCCCTGGTCTCCTCCTCCCATTCCCGCCTCCAGGACTTCTCCAGGGTGTCACCCATCCTCTGGAACTCCCTGCCCCAACCCATCAGATTATCACCTACTCTCCTCTCCTTTAGGCGCACCCTGAAAACCCATCTCTTCAGGGAAGCCTACCCCACCCCCTGCTAACCTGCCAACCTCCTCCACTCTTCCTACCACCCCATCCCCCACAGCTATCTCCTCCTGTGCCACCATCCCCTCCCTCCTAGATTGTAAGCTCGAAAGAGCAGGGCCCTCAATCCCCTCATGTTTTGCATTGTATTGGTATTGTTCTGTCCCCCTTTGTAATGTACAGCGCTGAGCAAACTATTGGCGCTTTATAAATACTGTATAATAATAATAATCACCGGGTCCCTATTACCCCCGGCACTTGGTGATCATCGGGGAAACCTGACAAGAGAGAGACCTTTGTGTAAACACAAGTCTTTCTCCTGTCAGCAAGGACATGCTGCTTGGTATTTCTCTGCACAGCACAGCTTTGCTCCTAAGACTTTCATTGGGGCATATTCATTTTTGCAACATGGTCTTGAATTAAATTGTTAGGAAAATTAACAAAATCTTGTTTGCAATCAATGGCCCGCATTTGTGGAAGTATTTTATAGTATAGTGTCCCAAAGAAAATGTTGATTCTGAAAGAAAAGTAATGGTGTTCTGACAAATCTATTGGGGTGTACTCATTTATTCTGAGCACTGTATATATAGTGCCTGAAGATGGTTTTCAGGCAATTTCTTTTCAGGTGAACTGGCCATTAGAAGTTTTCACTTCAATGTTACTTTTGCACATATTTACTGTTACATGTTCATTGCCAGTTATGCTCCAAATACAGAATTTAGACCATTCGCCGGTGTCCTATTTTTTGTTTGTTTCCGAGACGTGTGTTCAGCTCTGTACAGAGATATGAAAGAGAAGCCTCCAATTAGACTGTAATGCATGTATCGGTTCCCTGTGCTATGTCAACCTTCTGTAATTTCATTACGGACATGAGATGGCTTTATCTGTCACTGTTAATTAAGGCTACTCACTGATGCTGCACAGGCTAATAGAGTGAGCTTTGCACGTTTTCTGTCGTAATACAGAAAAACAAATAGACCCGACCTCTAGTGGAGGATGAGCGGCAGAGATAGATATTATCTGTAAGCACGGGCTGGAGGAATTGCACGTTCCCTGAAAACAGTAGGAATAAGGTCTGTGTGCCCTGGCCCGTAGAGCTGATGTGTGTGATAGGGCATGCTGTTGCTCACATGGTCTGTATTAAGCATAGTTCCTATTTCCTTGCTGAGAGTTGTAGTTCCAGTAAAGTTAAAGGTCATCAGGTTGATCTAACTCCATCTTTTGCCTGCCACACACTAGCATTTTAATAGTATTCAGTCAGCTACAGGGGCGAACTGACAACTCATGGGGCCCCCGGGCAATAGGGGATCATGGGGCCCATGTGTCCTTGCCCAAACTCAAAAAAGCCTATGAAAAAGGTACCAGGGGCATATCATGGGGTCCCCTACTGACCCCGGGCCCTCGGGCAGTGCCCAAGTTTCCAAATGGTCAGTCCGCCCCTGGTCAGCTATTCATTTTTTATTTTCTTTGTTTCTTGGCAAATCTAAACTCTAATCTAGACCTTTTCTTTTAAGTTTATAGGGTGAAACCCCTTTCAGTTTTTTTGTTACCATTTGTGTCTCATTGGGGAGCTTTCCTCTTATTTTGTGTACCAGAGACCGAAAAAAATCTTTTCAAATACGGAAACCTCCTTTACACAGTTGTCATGCAAACAGTTGACCCTGTTAGACGATTTTTCCTCTATTTCTGTTCTTGTGACTCAATATCATAGATTTCTTACCACTTTCTGTCTTAATGATAGTGGTCATTAGGATGAATAGAGAGATCAGGGACACAGCAATAAAAACCTCACAGAGGTTCTACCCTCTTAGTGCTCTATCTAAAGCTAAAAAGTAAAAGTTTAGATACGCTTTAATGTAGCTAATTGGTAATAACCAGATAGATATGTATTAAAAATTCATTTCTAAGTGGCTTCAATCAACTTCAGCTTCATTTTCAAGTTAGGCTTTAAGAAAGTTTGCTTGAACTTCCCAGCCTGCATGTTAAAAGGAATGTGATGAGCTGTTAGGTTGCCCATTGCTCAGCGTTGGCTGTCATAATGTAGACTCTTTCATATTCCTCTAAGCAATTTGCTACCCATCCCAAATGACAGTGTCAAAAAATGGCTGAAGATGCAGACACAACATTGACCCTGTACAGGCAATCAAAAAGCCCTTTGTCCCTATACAGGGAAGTCCAATAAACTATTAAATGTACTTTTTGTGATAAACTTCCCAATCAGCCCAATCTATCTCAAAAATTCAATAAACCAAACATATTCCAAAAGGTGATGATCAAATCTAAACTAAAATAATAATAAACCACCCTCTAATATATATTCCAAAATCATCAAATATAAATGATAAAATAACATAAATAAAATAAAATATAATAAATTAAAATATATATAAAAGTGTCCAAATCTCCAAAAAATAATAATAATAATAATAACAAGTGTCCAAATCTCCAAAAAAGTATGTAATATAAACAATAAATGTCCAAAAAAATCCCAAGAAAAACAAAAAAAACGTTCTTTATGTGTTCAGTGAAGCAAAACGATTATCCAAAAATGCCTTGTTATCCTCAAAAGTGAAAAACTATATCCATAGTGTAATATCCTCAAAACATATTAAATGCTTCACACTGTGCAAAACTCAAATCACACCAAAAATAGACACCTCGTGATCACTCCAATCTCAAGTGGTGATACTAGCACCTATTTCTCTCTAAATACACCCTAATACAGGCAATGTTATAGGGGCATTCCTACCATCACTATTCCTCCTGGACTGAGAAGGTTCAATCAGGCCATAAAAAGATATAAATTTATTCCACACTTACATGTAAAAACACTTTTATCCAGCTCTCTGTACTGCACATTTCAGTCTGGTTGAAAAAACGATCGTTTCCAACCGACAAAATGGCCCTGCGACATTTTTTAACCCCACTGGTGCAACAAAATCGGGTCACCTCCGGACCTCCCGAAGGAACGTCATGACGGACCGGGGGTGTCGCCGCCCATTTTGTCGGTTGGAAAAGTTTGGAGACCAGTACAGAGAGCTGGATAAAGTGTTTTTACATGTAAGTGTGGAATAAATTTATATCTTTTTATGAAATCTGCCTGATTGAGCCTTCTCTTTGTCCATATGAGGAATACCCCGGGATAAGATGATGGAGGAATGCCTTTCCTATCTAACAGTATATGCCTGAATATACCATAAGAGGGTAATGGTATTTAGCATCTACTTTGGCTGGAGTATATAGGATATTGATACCTAGTATCACTTTTCACTTGAGATTGGAGTGATCACGACTCATTTATTGATTTTTCACTATTTTTGGTGTGATTTGAGTTTTGCACTGTGAAGCATATATTATGTTTAAGGATATTACACTATGATATTTTTTTTTTTACTTTTGAGGATAACACTTTTTGGATAATCGTTTTGCTTCACTGAACACATGAACTTTTTGGGAGATTTTTTGGACATTTATTTGTTTATATTTACATACTTTTTTGGAGATTTGGACACTTCACTTTTATATATATTTTAATTTATTATATTTTATTTTATTTATGTTATTTTATCATTTATATTTGATGATTTTGGAATATATATTAGAGGGGTGGTTTATTATTATTTTAGTTTAGATTTGATCATCACCTTTTGGAATAGTTGGTTTATTGAATTTTTGAGATAGATTGGGCTGATTGGGAAGTTTATCACAAAAAGTACATTTAATAATTGACCCTGTAGGCCATATAGCAAAAGGTGAAGCCCTTTGTCCCTACAAGGGTCTCCAAACTGCGGCCCGAGATCCGGATGTGGCCCTTTGCTAACCTTTAACTCTCCCTTGAGGCACTAATCCAATGATATGAGACACTATTCCTCTCACTGACACCAACAATGGGGCACTATTTCTCTCACTAATACCAATGATGGGGCACTATTCTTCCTCCTGCTGACCACCAACCATGCTTATTTTCAAGGATGCTGGGCCTGGGACATTTTTTAACCCCACTGGCAACAATCGGGGCCTCCTGAAGTCTGAAGGACCGTAAACTGGCCCTTTGAAAAGTTTGGAGACCCTTGCTATAAAAGATACATATTTAACAATTTCGTGTCATGATATTGCCTGAGTCAGGGAGGCAATTTTTTAAGTGTATAGCCAGACCTTTTTTTTTTTCACTTCACTTTCTAAACTGATGGAGAGAATTATGACATCGGTAAATGGCAAGGAAGATTGTTTCTGCACAGTGGGATCCCAAGCATAAACCCTCAGAACTGTCGATTCACTGACATATACTACATTTTTAGGATCTTGGAGGTCCACTTGAGCAAGTTTAGTTGGTCCGCACTCATCTCCTTTCCTCCCTCACATCCCTCTTTTCTTGATAACCACTCGCCCTGCTTCTATTTCTTATCTCCTAATCATTTCTTCTTTTTCTCTTTGCCTCTCACCTTTGGGACAGGCTACATTCCCTTAAGGACCCTTACGATCTCTCGGCAGCCCTGAGAGGTATAGCAATCAAAATTCTATTTTCAGTTTTTTACATCTATTATATATATATTTTGGATCTATGGGAAATTATTCCATTTGCTATTAATGTGCAGGTTGAGGTCCGCTATCATTTTGGTCTTTACTCTTCAAAAACTGGATGATGTATTTTGGATGAATATGTTTAACCTACTTGCTGTATAGGCCTACTTTGGACATGTCTTACCTTGTCCTGAATTACGTATTTGGTGTAAACCCAGCTTCTACATTGTAATGGTTTAAGCTCTCTAATATCTTAAATTTTTGATGTCTGTGTTGAAGGACAATTACCATCTTATTTAGCATGCATTTAGCTTGCATTTGAGATGTTTCTGTTTCTTCAGAGGTGTTTCTGACCTCCACTTGACCTAAATTTTATTCTATATTGCTTCAGGCTGCTTATGTATTCAAATTGCCCTGATAAGGGTGAAATGCAGGTCTGAAATGAACAAATACCTGTGTGCACAAGGTCCTAAGGCATTAAGTTCACCCCAGTGTTTGATGTGGGGACATGGAATCTCCCACTACCAGCTTCCTTCATTTGTGCCACCTGTATGTTTGGTGGTGTTGGTGTTTATTGATTATATTTAATGATTTGTGTGGCTTGAAATTTTTCTTTAAATTCTTTTTCTGTTATCGTGTTCTAATAGTTTTTTTTTCCAGATCAAGCAGTCTGTGTATTCACATGAACACAGAAGTAAACTGTGAGATCTGCGTCCAGTCAGTCTGTTTAGTCAATACAACAACACATGTAGCAAGGCCCGTCCTAATTTTTCACCCTGTCTTGCCTTCCTAATCTCCTTTCCTGCCAAGATTTTTAACCTTCCCTCTAATGAATAGTGAAAGCAATGGTCTCTGTAAACAAGAAGCTAAAGATATTTTTGTACATTGCTGCTTATTATATGGTCTGTAGACCCAGTTCAGGTTCTGCCTCCAGCATCAGTGTTGGCAGTTAGGCAGGACCCTAGCAAATAACAGCTAAAATCTAAATTTGAGAGTAACTACAATTTTGTTGAGAAAAAAATGGGTATTCAATGTTAACAATGTACATTGCAGGGATTTCAATAAACTTTGTAGCAGATTTCTGATATTTGTTGCACTGAAGAAATAGCTGTTTGTTTCACCAGGCTGAGGACCCGTTCACACCTGGACAGGCACATTCCGTGTGCGTTCACTGCACCTGAACGTACCGTCCTTGCAAGATGTGCAGGTGCTAATTAATTGTTAATGGCAGCCCAAATGCATCTCACAATCAGAGCATGCTTCTGGCCACCAAATCACATGATTTCCACATCTGATGACTACATAATGTCTACCTGTCTGCAATCAAAGTGTAACATAATCTGTCACATGATGTCAGTATAAATGCAATACACCTGTTTTGCAGGTATAAAAAAAAAGTAGAGATCAGGGTGGAGTTTAAGTAAAGATCAGGGTTGTGTTATAAAAGAAATATCCCAAACTTTGAATATTCTACAGAGCACCGTTAAATTCATTGTAACAAAATGAAAAGAGTATGGTCTCCCACCAAAACCCACAGATGGGGCAAGAATGGCATTAATCAGAGATTAAGACCAAACAGGAAAAACACAAGGGGGGTAAATGCTTTTGTAAGGCACTGTAGCTCAAAGACTATTGGTTTCAGTTCTTTACTGAAAGGCAGAAATTGCTAATTTCTCAAGAAACTCCAACAGCCTCTAGAGCAGCCATTCTCAAAAAGGGTTCTGTGGAATCCCAAGGTTCCTCTAGAGTTTGCTAGGGGCATCTTAAACTGTGGCTGATTGGCCAACCATTTGATGGTGCCTGGATAGTTCTAGGACCAATGCCTTTGGCTAAAGCCAGCTGCAGGATACCAATGATCTGAGCAGCACTGTAAGTCTTCATGCACACTGAATGTTTTTGACTTTTGGCATTTTTATCTAC